TGACCTTCACAGAGAGGTTGAAGTTCATGTGGAAAGGAGGCTTCAGTAGTCTGTCTGCACTCTGTTTAGTTGTGCTATCTTACAATCAATATAGTAAATGTGAGGTAAAGTGTGTCGCCAATGTAACCGGTTAGATCTCAAAGTTGCGATGAGGTCTTAAAATGTATGGAAAGGGTCTTAAAATGTATGGAAAGGGTCTTAAAGAAGGTCTTAAAATGTATTACATTTGACTTCAGGATTCCTGCATATACCCTGGATACATAATGTGTAAGTTACAAACAGGTGAATGTTATGGATGTACTTAGTTCAGGTGTTTAACAGTCTTATGGCCTGTGGAATAAAACGGTCCCTGAGTTTGGTGGTTTTAGTCCGGATGCTGAAAGAATAGCGTTAGTGTTTTTTAACCCCGAACTCTTATTTTCCATGTTTTCACCACCACCTGAGCAATGGGAACAACTATTGTTGAAATTGGGCCAGTATGGAGTGAGAGTGCTGCAGCTGCAGAACAAGCTGCAGTATAATCTTTCCAGGTTGATGTTTGTCCGATATAAGTGCTTATTTTTGCCCCCGATAGGCTCTGATTTATTTCCTGGACTTTATTCAATTATCGTTGTCCCCATTCGTCACTATAAAGATTTGGGTTAGTTCCTCTTTTAAAGAACTAGTTGAAATTGAGAGACAAGAGGCAATTCTTTCAACTTATTCTTTATCAGTTCTTTTCTCACATCCAATAGTACTCCAATTTAGATGAACAGTTTCTTTAACAAGGGGTCACAACACGTTTAACGTCTCAAATCCTAAAAATTGAGAATATGAATTTTTTTTTTATAGAAATCAAATCAATAATGACACTGTAAATGAAAAGAGGCAATTCTAAACGTTTTGTCTATTTCTTATGAACCACTGCACTTATTTCAATGGATTTTTTTGTTATAAAGATACAAATATTTATACTCTGTATGTCTCAATTATTTCATAAACTATAGTCATATTTATTTTTACAAATATTCACCTGGAAATCAGAATAATATGTCCTCTCTAAGTAACACATTGCATGTTTTGCAACCTTAGCACAAGAAAGAAATGGAACTTTTTTTAAATGTTCAATATTTAACCCTTAATTGTCTCGGTTCCAAATAGGATCTTGGCTTTCTCGGAGGCCACAATCACAGCGGTGCATGTGACCGTGGATGGGGAGCCTCTGGGGGAGGGCCGCTCTGCTGGAGGTCCTCTCTATGTTCTGCTGTGGGATCCATCTCTCTACCTCACTGGAGTGCACACCATCAGAGTTAAAGTGGAGGTCAGTGGAGCTTTCATTTATCTTAAAGTGTCCAGAGACTTGATCTAATTTGACGCTTTAATTACAATATGGATCTGCTGTCTTGGCACTAAGATTTTTAACGTGCTTGTTTTACTTATAGAATTAACAATATGCTTATCTTATCTTTGTGTGTGTGTCAGGACTCGGCGGGCCGGTCGTCAGTGCGGGAGCAGCACTTTACTCTGGAGGGCAACCTGACTCCTAGCTTTGGGTTCATGCAGTCCTTCATCCTCCTCACAGACCACTACATCCTGGCCCGAGCAGCCTTCATATTCGTTATCCTGCTGAATGTGGGGGTGCTGCTGGCCTTCAGGTTCCTGCCTGCTCCTTCTGGGAGAGGTGAGCTGTCACTGAATACTAGTCAAATGCTCATATTTTTGTTTGATTACAGAAAACTGAAGTTACCTGTTGTCTACGATCAGACTCTGCAGGATTTAAAATCAGATATTGGCAACATACCGCCATAAAATGTCTCAAAAAGACTAGACATGTTTGATATTTTGTAAGACGTACTTTAATCTAAAATGTTTCAGACACATTTAAAACCAAGAAACATCCATCATTTTAACCAAAGTATTGGGTTGTTTCATTTGATTGCCTGTTTATGTTTTGTTTTTTTACAACTTCTGAGATGTTTATCGTTTTTAACTTTATTTGAACTGGAATAAGATTTAAGGGTTTTTCCAGTTTTTATCAGCAATTATTTTAGTTTGAAGAGGATGAGACCGGTTTCAATCATTTGGCTTCCTAGGAAAACCCAATAATCGGGAGAAGCTGACTGCAATGACAACACTTCTATAGGACCATGCTATTCAAAACTTCACCAATCTCTGTCTCTTGTTTTTGTTTTGATTGAGAAACCGTAGCTGCAGAAATGACATATTGTGCATTTCAGTAATTATTTGAATAACAGCAATAGTTCTTTGTATATTCATATCTTTTTAATTTTGTCAACAGGATTGACCTCTCAAGCATGCATGTCTCTCCATCTGGTCAGCTCAATGGACACCTTCTACTACTCTCTGCTGCTATTCAACCTGTGTACAGCCTTAGGTGGGTCCACTGCTTTGTCTCATTCCTTGTTAGTGTGCTGCTTCATAGCAAATATACACAATCTCTCTGAAGTTAATACTCAAACTGACTATGAGACATTGCTCTTTAAATAGGCACGGTTTCCTGTCATTTTGCTTCTGTTCCTGTATAAATACATCCTGTGTTGTTTCTGCTTCCCCCCCCCTCAGGGCCATGGTTCGTAGGAGAGCTGATAGATGGCCATAGTGGTGCCTGCTTCGCCTTCGGGGTGTTTGTCGATGGGCACTTCCTGGAAGGCAGTCTCACATATGTTATTGGAGTCGTTCAAGTAAGAACTTACATTTTATATAACGCTTTTACATCTCCCTAGTGTCCGTACATAGACAAAACCTTTAACAGATGTGCTTTGTCTATAATAATATGTGGATATATGGAGTTCAACCAGCAACTTTAATCAATGGTTTTAATCATCAAAAGGTCACATGGTTACCCCTATGTTTAAGTGTCTGCCCGTAGCGGTGAAGCCACAGAAGATTTATTACCCACTCACAAGATATTTAAGGAAAGGAATGGAAATTTTGTATTTATTTTTCTAGTTTAACTTTTTTTAGTAAAACACTGACTACCTAATAAACATCTTTAAAATCAACTCACTTTTTGAGCAAGTCATATTCTCTCCTACTTGTGATGAGAGGTCAAGCAAAAGTGGTTGAGAGGGAAAAAGGCTTCATAAACCTTTACTTATCATGGTCAACATTTGTCCCACTTGAAGCCATATGTTCATATACTGTCCTTGCCTTGCTGTATTTCCTATGAAACAATCTGCAGTGGTTTTCAAGCTACTAATCCCATCTAACCGGACTCATTTCCTCTCCGCCAGCTGCTTTTCTTCAACATGCCCCTCACCTGCTATCTCTGCTGGAGCCTCCACCACCGTTGCCGTGGTAACACCTTCCGATCCCACTTCCTGCGGCCGGGCTGCCGCTGGCGGACTCTGGCGTTTCACCTCCTCATGCTGCTGCTGCTCACCTGGCAGGCGCACTCCTGCTACTTCCTCTTCGAGACCTACGGCGCCGTGGCCTTCTTACTGTCTCCGGTCCGCACGTGGGCGTTCGGGCTCAGTCTGCTATTGGTCTACCACGCCTGGACATGCCCCGCCCCTCTCGCTCGTGACAACAGCAAGAGCGTCACTCCTTCTTGACAGTAATTGCACTGTTTCCACCCACGATCTCTCTGGAGCCTGATATATTTTACTGTCCCTATCCACCTTTGAAAGCAGCTCCTTTCTTTCTCTCCTTCTTCCAAAACCAGTACATCACTCACTATCCTGTTAATCTTGTTTACTTAATATGCATGTTATTGTTAAACACCGGTGAGCACATTTCTAGCCATATCCAAAACAATGTGTACAGTGTAAGAAAAGAAAAAAAGACACCTTGGGAGTGAAATAGCCTCTTTGAGCTACGAGCGGTCCAAATTGTGCTGCACTTAACAGTCAGTATATTCTGCTGTGATTCAGAGGGATAGTTTGTCATTTTTAAAGTGGGGTTGTATGAGGAACTGACCCATAAAAAGATGACAGTCATTGCGTCACCACTTTGGAGAGACAGATTACCGGCACAAAAGCTAAGCAACGTACTGCTGTGAATCGGGGACATTGGATTTCTAAAAAAAATACACTTTTTCATTTCTTTAGGTGTATTCAGAATATTTGAAATGCTTCACCTTGCTGACAGAAGCCTTTCTTTTAGGTGGCTACAATATTTTTTGTTCTGCTTCCCTCATCCACAGCAGTACACTGATTTGCTTCTCCAGATCAGAGGTGTGCCGATGACATGAGCTACTGATTAAAACCTCCTGCAACAGCATTTCAAACTATCCCTTTAGGCTGACTCGTTTACTTGAGCGTTTAGCTTTCTTTAGGAAGTGTTGCCTTGGCCGAATGCCACCTCACCACTGCCAAAGGATGAATAAGTTAATAATAACGACTTCTTCATCTTTTTATTCTTCCCGCTGAAAATCATTTTCATTCGCTAAATGAAGGCTGGGCGTGCCAAACCATACCTCGTGTTTACCTGCTGACTCACAAACAGTGCGGATAAGAAAGCTTCCTTTTGTATTCTGTGAGCTTTCCTGACTCCCCATGGCCGACGGTGTTGTAGTTACAGTAAATCCGGGGGAGATGACGCAGGAAAATGCAACCTAGGTCATCATATGTTAAAGTTTATTCCACACGTGATTACAGGAGATCAGAGGAAGGAGATTTCCAAATCAATCACATACTGTAGTTGGTCTGTGTTCAAATGGTTGATGATTTAAAGTGTTTTTAAATAAAATACCATTGCACACAACTGCCACAAAACATGTCAATATTCACAGTGAATAGTTAAAAAATCGTACACGCCGTTTTTCACCAAAACGCAACAACATGCCGGTCCTGACTCTTCGTGCTCCTTCAAATGTGACTACAGAAAGCAGCTGTTTGTTTCTCAGGAATGTGAGCACTTGAACAAAAGGCTGGTGCCAGTAGTATTTCAGGACAATGTTTTTATACTACATGGTAGCTCATTGAACTAAAAAACATTTTCAACAGCCCGAGATGTGTGGTGGCTTCCAAACTAAATGAATGTGTAATAGATGTGATGAAATGAGAAGAACCAGTACTATACTGTTTTAATTATTTATTATTTCTGATTGTATCGAGTGATTTCTCTTTTTTCCCCCTTCATGTTATATATCTGCACTGGAAATGGGTATTCCTTGAAATAATTGAAGTTCATTTGAGAGCTTTTTGTGTGAAAACGATGTTTGTCTGTGTTGTTCTGAAACTGCACTCAATCCGTCTGTAGTAGCAGTTGCCTGAAATCCACCAGAACTAGCTGATCTAAATATAAAAGACAAATAGGCTGAAGACCACATTTATCAAGTCTTTTAATAGAAGTAATGTTCTAACACAGTTGAATCCTGGGTTTTTTCTAAACTATACCCAGCATGAGTGCGGAATAATTGCTCCTGTGATAAGACATGCAGTTTATTATTCGAACAGCTGCTTGACACTAGGAGACTAAATTATGTGCACTCTTGAAGGAAATTGTTTGAAAACCTTTTCCCTTCTCTGCTCAGACAAGTGTTATGGAAGCACTACCAAATGAATAATTCCAGCGTAGAGACGGATATTAAAAATGGATGACTTTTGTTATTGGCATAGTTAATTTCCCTAATGCTGCGCAGTACCTCTCACAAGATATATATATCTGTCCACAAGGAGGGAGTAGTGTGTTGCATTTGACTTCCACACCAACTAATGCATGGAACTGTTTTGTTTTCTGTTGCAGAAAAGCACCAATTGTTATACTCTGAATCTGGTTGTGATTGTTCTGTACTGTGCACTGATTTTAATTTTCACAACAACAAAAAACCCATTACTACCACTAAGTCTCTGAAAGGGCATATACTGTAAGTAATGTACCGGCGATCACTTCTTTTGCATCCTTTCCTATGTTCAAACACTGAAGTATATGAATGAAAAGACTTACTAAGGTAAGAGCCAATCACAATGTTATTTTATTAATGGTTTATAGTGCTGTGGAATAAAATGTTCATTACAGTAAATCATATATTTTGTGTTTGTTCTCTTGTCATTGTCACAGAAAGGGAGTCAACAACAATATGAAGCCCAACAATGACAAAAACTAACCATGTCAATAAATAATACTGTTAGTTAAATAATTAGAAAGGATTGTAAAAGTTAAATAAATGCTTCATATTTATCCTTTTAACTTAAATCAGTTCCCTCGTATTAGGCCTACTCTTTTTTTTCCTAATTCAGCTTGGTACACATTTAATCGTTTATCCATATCTAACACTTTCCATTTTCCTCAACACATATGCAATTTTACTCGTGTTTATAGGATACCAAGATTTCCATTGGTATGTAGCTTAACTGAAAACATTGGTGGAACATTTAATTACCAAGCACTAGCTTTTTCCGCTGGCTACATCTCTTTGTAAAACTAATGTAATCCATATTTATGATCCCTTTCCTAATGCTGCAGAATCACTTCTGTCGTCTTTGTAGCTCCCTCACTCTAGCACATGTGTCAAAACTCAAGGCCCGGGGTCCAAATCAGGCTCTTGGTGGATTTCATTTCGGCCCGCAGGATAATTTCTAATTCCTATTAGATCTGGCCCGCCGGTATATTGCACGCACACCTTTACTCCATCCTCAGGGTCTCCTCAGCTCAGAGCCTGAGCCCAAACATTGATGAACTTGCACCCAAGATGAGATGCCAAGTATCTGGCTTGAACTAGCATCACAGAGCAGCACACTGAGTTTAATGGGTGTTTCCTTCTGCACTTTTTTTCTTGCGACAACAGGGCATGTTTTGTTTTTTCTTTGAGGGAAATAGTTTTTAGAAGCTGTTGTTGGCCTGTGGAAAAATGTAATCATAAGAAATGACTCGGGGAAAGCTGCAGATAGAGCCATAGGAAATGAATGCAACTGATTATTTAATGTTTCATGTTGTTTTTATGGGCAATAATTTAAGCATTGTTGGTTCCAGGTTTAATATGTGCAATAAGTTCATTTCAATAAGTTTTGCAATAAACATTGAACCAGTCCGGCCCTCGACTAGTGCCCATGTTTTTATTTTGGCCCACTGTGTATTTGAGTTTGACACCCCTATAGGCTCTTCATTGTATATCTTTAGCACAGCCTTGCTATTTAAGGCTTATCAAACATCTTTCATTTAGTTAAAACATTAAAAGGGGCCACAAATCACATTTACACAAAGTCAGAAGTCGTGTTTAATTGATGTTCATCAAGATAAGAGATGTTACTTAAAATTACAATAATGGTATAAACAAGCTAGGCTACTGAGTAGTGTTAGCTAGCAGCCTTTTGCTACTGTTGAAACAATTATACATTGATGCTAAAGCCATATTCAGTGCATATGGATGACAAAGAAAACATTTACTGGCTCATGTAATATTTTGGAGAAAGTTAGATTGGGTTACATAACATCAGCTCCCTGGAAGACTGGTAATTTAACAGTAAGCTAGCAGTGTTCAGTTAAGCTAGCTAACTACTATTAGTGATTTGAACCTACAATCAGATCAGTTTTTAACTGTTGGAGGTTAAAGGAAAACATTTAAAAGCTTTATGTTTCTTTAAACACCACATTTTGGATTATTTTACAAACAGTATTTTGTGTTTCTCATGTCTGATAAACCTTCACTGCCATTTGTCAGTTATAGCGCTACATACGAGAACATCTGCTGATGTCTTATCATGGCACTTTTATTTTCCACACCGGATGATTTTAAAACCACAAGTGTTGAGATTGAGAAGTAGGGTAATATTATCAGGCAGCACGGCAATATGTTAACATATATATTTTACACATATTAAAATTGGCACCAAAGAATAAATCAGAAAGTTATAAAGTTCAACCCTTCTAAGCACTCTTTACATTTATTTTTGTCAGGAAACCAATTTAATAAAACATTGTGTGATTTATGTTTATGATGCATAATTGCCAACTAATGGCAACCGCTCATCAATGAAATATCCCACTAGAGATCATTAAGTTAGTGTTATTGGAAGTCATTGAAATGCAACATGTTAATTTCCCAAGGCATCCGTCTGGTGAGAGAAGCAATTTCCTTCACTCTGATATCTTTATGATTTGCTTTCCAATGTTTCCCCCTTTCATCATGGAGCAAAATGCATCTGCAAGAAAATGAAAAAATGTTTAACTTCTGGTGAATAAACAAACGAAAGTCATGAATTAAAGAAAAACGCAATCATTTAAATCTACACACCTCCCATCTTTTCAATGCCTTCCACCACAGTTTCCAGCACCTGCAGAGTGAAAGCACAATTACAATGATGTAAAGAGAACGACGGGGGATTGGCATTGATTTTGCAAAATAACAAAGACACCCACACACTCATCAATCATTCCTCCTTACATTGATGTGTCCTGATTTAACTAGCTGGCTGAGTTCACAGAGGGCAGCGTCTGCTTTGTTCATGTAGTTAAGCACTGTAAATCTTTCCCGGGTGATATTCTTGCTTCGCAGGGTTTCCTGTATCTCCTCGCTCAGAGGCGGAGGATATGGCACATCTTTGTTATACTGTGAGATCTGCCCACACAGGATCACATGGCTGTTGTTGTTCATCTGGAGGTTAGAAGAGTGTCAGAGATCAATGTGTGAGAATGAGTTAAAAATAAACAAAACACTCATTGTTAAAAATAAGGGCAAAACACTTCTGAACACAGCAAAAAATCAAATTTTGCAATTGTTGGTAGAACAAAGATCAAACAAATAATATCTCATAATTCACATATTTTCAAGCCAAATAAACCACAAATTAAAGTACATTATGTTCTGCACAAACACAAACATAAATCAAGCAGTACCTGTGCAATTACAGTATCACTGATGCCACCTCCCACGTTGTCAAAGTAAACATCTATCCCATCGGGGCAGAGCTCCTGGAGCTTTGCAGGTATGTCCTCTTTTCGGTAGTTGATGGCTGCAGAAAAGCCGCAGTCATCCACTAAAGCTCTGCACTTCTCTTCAGAGCCGCAAATCCCAACCGCTCTCACACAGCCATCCAGCCTGCCGATCTGGAAAAATAGAAGCAGGGAGAAATGATAGAATCAGGACTTTACTTTCTTTCCTTTGTAATCCAATCTTGTTTATTTTGGCAAATGTGTTTTTTCTAGATTGGATCGGCTAACCTGAGATTTGTTTCTAAAATAATAAAGTTATAGTTCTCACCATTTTGCCTTTATATTTGTTTCATCACAAACCATTAAAAAATAGAAAATACTAGGAATTACTGCAAAATACTCAGGTATAAGCCCTACAATTTTAGAAATAATTTGACCATGCAAGTTGTAAGTATCTCATGTAACTACAGCTGTATAAACATTACATTTTATTTGGACCTAAATCTGACATTTGCTGTATTTACCTGTCCAGCTACGGAGCCACAGGCCCCAGCAGCGCCACTCACCACCATGGTCTGATTGGCCCCTTTGGTCACATTGCCCTTCTCCCTTACGCCTAACAGTGCAGTGAGACCTGTTATCCCAACTGCACCCAAAAAGTATGACAAGTGTCCATCGACCACCTGTGGATCAACCTGCAAGAGACGGAATGTAATATATTTGTTGTTGTCCTTGATGTCAATATTCGAGATGATTTCATGTCACATGCTGGTTACTTTAGAAGCATGCATGCATATTAAACAAATTCTCCTTTTTGCATTAGAATATATGAACTATGGTCTTTATCCCAGGGACACACAGTAATAGTACATACCTTTTGTAAGGCACTTCCTTTCATGACAGCTTTGGTCTGCCAAGGCCAGTTGAATGAAGTGACCACATCTCCCTCACTGCAAGCACTGCAGCGACTGGACTCGACCACACCGACACCTCCACCATCTACACACTCAGACAGCTGCCATGGAGTCACATAACCAACACCGGTGTCTTCATTCATTCTGCACCGCTGAAAAGAACAGAGATTGGTAGAAGTGGTTTAATCCTTGCCTCTTGTCTTAGACTTTCAATAGATATCCCAGATGGACAAATTAATCCTTCAGTCTTTGTAATTTTACATAAAACTCATCTGCTTTGCACCATTTCTTTATACCAAACAGTGTGTAATCTCAATATGCATTATGCATATGCAGATACAATAACTTTGATGATTGATGTCCATTCTGATTGTATCAATATACCATGTAAGGGTCGACTGAGAGGCAAAGCGTCCGGACAAGGACCTCCCCATCTTCCAGGTCAGGTGCCAAAGTGGTCTCCTCTAGGCGGAAATGTGCAGGAACTGGCACTCCGTTGTTACCTTGTGCATAATAAGTAGTTTGAGTAATCGCTAGCCACACCACGTTTGCAGTAATGTTGCAGCACAGGACACACACACAACAGGTAATCTCTTAGGAAAAGTGTCCTACCTGGTCGTGAGTTGAGAACGACTCTCTGCACCGGCATCCTTGGAAAGTAACGCTAGCTTTGATGTCTACGCTAAATGGCACTGGTACCTGAATTAAAAACCCGACCTGACAACAACCGTCAAGTTTGATAAGAAGTGTGTTAAGAAATGTCTCGTTGTTATATAAATTAGCAACACGAAAAGTGTCCAACTTCTTGAAAAACTTGTTACAAACACTGTGTTAACATTCCATCTGCTCTGTCTGTAGGAGGTTAGCAGAAAGTCAACAGACCACTGAGGACGTCTAATTCAATAGAAAGGAAGATGGTTCCCTGTAACCAACTTCCGCCTTCGCTAAAACCCAATCGGAAGTTAAACCGATTTTATTTTTACCTATCAGTGAATTAACATATTATATTGATTACTAGTGATAACCTTGTTTCACACACCCAGGATGTATGTCTTGAAAAACATTTTTAGCTGGCAACCGTTACATTTAATATATTAATAAACATGTATGATGCAATATATTATTTTAATATATAGTATAAGTATAATATTATAATATTGTATAATATTATATAAGTATATTATATTGCACTTTTTTATAAATGTTAATGCTTATATGAGGTATTTATACGAAAGTGCGAGATTATTTGCCCCATGTTCGGGTATAGCGGGTGGGAACCATCTTGAACGATATGTAGTCTTTTCCTAGTTTAGCCGTTAAAGGCAAAGGCAGTTACTGCAAATCAGAAACGGTACGCGGCCTTAAACAGCTATTAATCCAGCTCATCAACGCCGCAAGTATTAAACTATATTTAGCAGGGTATTAACAAACATTTAAAATTGATGTTGCCAATGCAATCGATCTGCTTCTCATTAAAACTCGTAAAGTGGGTAACTTGTGAAGTCCCATAGATGGGTTGCACACAGTATCTGTTGCTGCTAGCTAAAAGTGTCTCAAACTGGGAAGTGACGCTTCGTGAAGGAATCTGAGAAAAGAGTACCGTTACGTGGGTTGATCTTATATGAGACGAGTAAGGATCGTTGCTTACAGGAGCTTACCCTGCAGCAGGACACCGTGAACACAGGGACATGAAGGCGTATGTGCCATGGAGGGGCAGAGTTTAATGTAAGTACTATAAGGCTTTTCGCTTGTGCATGCCAACGCTGTGCTAGGTGTTTTGTTTATGATGGTCTTGTACGCTGGACCTAAAGTGCTGTTTGTGGACAACTAGCTA